GGTCGGTCGACGTGAATGCGCTCCCGGAGTCTAAATTGAGGTTGCCAGTCGTCGCAATAAGACTAAATTTTACTACTTTCAATTTCATTTAAGCCCCTTGTACGAGGCATAATATGTATTCATCTATATTGATTGCGTAAAAACTGCTGAACGCAATGTTTTGTACCTTTGGCTTTTGGCTCATTTGCAGGATTTACTTTTCTGCATTCTCTCTTCCATCTTCGCGGGCTAGTCACTGAATTTGGAACAATGAACTGAGCAAGTTATCTCTTGTGGCAAGTTTTGTGTTGATTCTAATTTTTTTTTGCCTGTACGTAAGTTTTCCGCGACGCCGCTTGTAATGTTTGTGGGAAAGAACAACGTCGTCGCGTTTTCGACTGTGCGTCGTTCATGAATGGTTGGATGTTGTTAAAAGAAGGGTGTGACTTTGATAGTCAGGGGCAGTCGGAATTCGTAATTTTTATGGTCAGATGATATGCCATGGCGACGATTCATCGACTATATCGCCATGTCACAACCTGGGACGGGGTAGAATAGTGAACTGTACATACGATAATATCAAAATTATGACAGTAAGCCTACGGCTCTACGGTGACCACCTTAGTCTGGTGTGGCCATAGCAATTTTGATTTAACATGCACTATTTCATCAAACATACCGCCAAACCTATCCAGCCGCTCTTATGAAATTTATGACACCTACAAATTACAGAGTGGCTATCATGCCGGCCGCGGCATATATCTGACTAGATTACAATAATGCTAACCAACCCAAGGAGGATAGGGTTACAACGCGGCTATACCTTTTTGCGGAGGAATGCCCGAGTGAATCACTCGGCGGCCGCGTTTGCTGGGTGTCTATTTCAGAGACTAGAACTTCCAAACTGCGGTGTTATTCTAACACGAACCTTTTCTCGCTATGTCGCGGAACTTACTTGTATCGCAATACTCTGTATTAAACTATATAACCTGTTACAAAAATTCGAAGTGACGAGCGGCGAATCTTACTGAGCCGCCATTTCTGTTGACCTGTGACGTACTTCGGTTTGAGAGCGGATTCACCGACCAATCGTGAGGGCGCTGCGTTTGCCGATCGCTATGCGTATTGGAAATGCGTACGTCACAGCGTAAGCCACATGGCGCTCAGTAATCTGCGTCCTCGCACTTCGAATTTTTGCTAACAGCGTTTATTACGTTAATACAGAGTATTGCCGTTACAAAGTAAGCTTCCCGAAGATCAGCGGAGAAAGGTTCGGGTGTTTAGAATAACCCAGTTTTGAAGTTTAGTCTCTGAAATACACAGCAAAACCGGCGGCCCGAGTGATTCACTCGGGCATTCCTCCGCAAAAAGTATAGGCTCGCGTTGAACCCTATCCTCTTGGGTTTGGGTTACATTATTGATATCTAATATCTGACGGCTGCCGGCACGCGCTCTTTCGATTTCCTAAATGCCTGCGCCGTTTTGAATTTTTAGCGTTATCTCAGTAAACAATGGTGGAGGATTAGGCGTTTAGGGTTAGAATTAGGGTCAGAGTTAGGCGTTAGGTTAGAACTGCCGGGCATTTTAGGAAATCGCAAGACTGTGCCGCCGCTTGCGGTATAGGCCACACGGTAACAAAGATTAGTCTGGAAAACTATATCCCCCCATGTAAACAATGTAGCTTGCCCAACCAGTTGCGAGACTTAACACAAGGTATTTGCTGATAGTTTCACACTCATATGGTGTTCTGTCAGGCCAATGTTTGCATTTGTGTGAGTATAAGATGTGGCTCGTAACAACAAAGGAACGGTTTCTGTTTGTGTCTTGCAGGTATGACGACCTTGTGCAGAAACACAGCTGTCCTCACCAAGGACATCGAGGGCGACATTCATCCAGTTTGTCAAACATCAGGAGCTATGAGGTCGCGGTGGCTGTCGTAGCGAGACGGGAGGTTCGCAGAAAATCAAGTCCATGCTGCGCGCCAGGATGCTGACGAACTTCGTCGCTCGAACTGAAACCTACAACGCACTGCGCGCCAACAGATCGAGAGTGAATGAACAACGGATGCGCGTCGAGTACGACAAGGACACGCTCGATCGCCAGATGGGCCTCATCGGCAGATATGAACGACAACAAGATACAGGTCTATGCTGACAGCGCAGATCGGCGAGCGTCTCAGCTTCCTCAACGCGGCAACTCACGGCCGAGCGCACGACGGCCCAAGGCAACTTCGGTACTATCCGGACGAAACAGGCAGCATTGCTGTCGGTGTCGACTGCGACCATGCGCAGCTCGAGCAGCGCCGACGGGGAGACGTTGCCTGCGCCGCGAGCCGCTCCGCGTTCACTCTGCGGAACTCGCCGGCGAGTCGCCAGAAAGCGCGCGTGCCAAGCGCGCGACGATGGACGGGGGTCCTCTAACGACACGCCACGAGAAGCGCAAGAGCGCCACGGACGGCGACGCCGGTGAGCGTGCCACCCACAACTCGCATCGTCGCACGACGACGCCGTCACCGCTGCCCGAGACGGCCCGATCCGCGCCGTCTCGGAGATCAAGGCCGGCGCGGCCGCGCGAATCGCATGAACCGGAGTTTTCAGCGAGCGGGTCGCTCGCGGAAGCTGCCGAACGGAGGACGTTGGACGAGCGGATCGGAACGACCTTCGTTCTTGGGGGTCGCGGTCGAGCGCGCGGCGACGACGGGGTATGCATGCGTTCCGACGTCACCGGGATGCAGCCGCTGAACTCGGCCGGCAACGGGTCTCAACAAGCAGCACGCGTTCGTTCCGAAGGCGATCATAAACCAAGCCGGAGACGTGCACGCCGTGCCGGCAAGCGCATCGAAGTTCGGCAAGGCTGCGCGGCTGTAAGTGCAAGCGACTGCAAGGCCCGACGCTTGCCACCAGCGACTGCAAGGCCAGGCTGGCGCGCTGCCGCTTGCGTATCATGTCGGAACCCCAACCGCCGTGACGACGGTCTGGGTTCGTCGCCGACTTGTCGCTGTCCGCCCTACCTCCGTACATCCGCACTCATCGTCCCACTGCGTGAAAGAGGTCAGCGGCCGAGGCCTCAACGAGGTCTCGCATCTACCGGGTTGCCCGGCTTCGCGAGCCGGAGGTGAGAGCTGAAGGACACGTTCCTGCGCGGGAGGGCATAGCCGAATCTCTCGCGCATCGTCGACATCCCTCGTCTGCGCTACGATCAATCTTCTTGCGCCCACGCTCAAGGAATCCGCTCGTCACGCACAAGCTGTGGCAGTGCTTTCGTGCAGGGCGGCCGAGGCGAGAGCTCACCACCTGCTACAGCGTGATCGACTCGCTGCCCGAAGGAACAGGACACGATGGCGTACGTCGTCCTGGCACCTGCCAGAAAGTCGCGAGCTGCCGCGAGACGAAGATGTCGACGCGATAATTTATCGAAGCGTGTCGCGGCCGACGCTGCGTCGGTCAGCGGCCCCGACGTCAACCTGAACATGATGAGCGACGAGGACGTGCAAGCAGTTTGCTGTCGTGACAGGCGCTCATGTGAGCTGCGGAAACTACTGGGATCAGTTCTGTGCACGGATGCCGACGCGAGGCCCGGCTGAGACGAATGCCGGCTGGCGCCAAGACGCCCGAACACGGCCCGAAGCGCGATCGGTGACCCGACTCAACAGCTGCTGGGGCCCCTTGCAGGACGCCTTAAGAATGACACCGAGCAAGTCCAGCCGCGCACCTGGTCGCAGCGCTGCCAAGTCTGTTTCGGTCTAGAACTCCGGCACGGGGCAAATATTCGGTGAAGCACGGAAAGACACCGAAGCGCATGTACTTTGCTTCGCCGGTCCTGAGTGAGGGCGGTGTGCTCAGTAGTCGTGGTGTGCGCTGCTTTTTATTTTCTTGCTTTGCCGTTCCCTGCACGAGTGTATAATAGGTATTCAAATCTACTACTTTGAAATTTTTTAATGAAATATCACCAAGAGCAGATAAGAGACGAGAGCGTACAAGTGTAAAACTTGCTGCAAACCATGCTGCATTATTAGTTCGAATTAATAAACTTTTCCCGTCTATTGTTTGGACGATCCTTTGCAGTATTATTGATTAGCTGTCTTTTACTTGTTCATATAAAACCAAACGCATGTCCTACAGCCTACGCTGAGATAATGAGCTGGTGAAATCTGTATTTTCGCCGAATACCGACTCGAGTTCAGTGTGAACTTGCCGTCCCTCTCCCAAAGTCGTTATAACTTTCGGGAAACCTCGCGTGTCCGAATGACGTCTGTTTATGATTGCCATCAGTGATTGCACCCCCACCTCACGCCCACTACGCCCACCTCAACGCTGATGTATAGTAAACTCTGTGTATTACCGAGTGAGTCAGCTGCACTATGGGCGTACACAGCGGCCGACGGAAGCAACACACTGGAAACAGCCTTCGAGAGACAGTTCGCAGTTCACACTGATCTCGAGTCTGGTTTCGGCGAAAATACCAGATTTCACCGCTCATTATCTCAGCGTAGGGACATCGTAGGGACATGCGGTTTCGTTTTTATATGAACAAGGTAAGACAGCTAATCCATAATACTGCCAAAGGATCGTCAAATAAACGGAAGGTTTATTAATTCGACCTAATAGTGCCAGCATGGTTCTCAGCAGGTGTTTACCCTTGTTACGCTCTCTTCTTTATTATGCC